CTTCTCCGAGCAGCTGGGGACCATCGCGACGGATTTCTTGGAGGCGCAGGTACCCAGCTGGGCGTCATTCCAAGTGGAGGATATGTTATTGCACCTTGGCGTCTGGCTTGGACCTGCAGCTCAGGTGATGCAGTCCTGGGAGGCGCCGTGGGCGAAATACAAGCTACGAGTTGGTGCGCTGGCTGCGTCGTCGGCCCCTCTGCCGTTGAATGCGCTCAACTAAATTCGCGCGGTGCCGGCGCTTAGCCATGTCGCCCAGTTCCCCCCGCGGCCTGAGGCCATTCGGCAGTTCGACATCCACGCGCTGGTCAGGCTGATGCGCTTCCCAGGAGGTGCTCTGCGATATGCGGACTTCTCCGCGCTGGCGGAATGGGAGGACCGAAGTTACATGCCGTTGCGGCCATGGCGGATGCGGCGCTCGTCAGGTCGGGGCTCACCACTCATCCTGAGCATCGTCGCTATTTGGCCCAATTTCGAGCTGCTTTGGGACGGTGGCATACTCATCGTCGGCTGGTCGATCTGACTGGCCAACTCTCGCCGTCCTTTTGGGCCGCGAAATCCGTGGTGGAGATCATTGCGGCGACTTGTTCGTCTGCGTATCCATCGGCTTCCGCAGCTCGGCAGCACTTGGTAGAGCATCCACAAGCAACTAAAGGTGTGCAGCGCGTGGCTTGCGCAGCATCGATGGCAGCCTTCTTCTTGCCTGTCAAGCGAGAGGGTTCGGAGTCGCCGCCGCTGGTCTCCACTATTATCCGTCGCTGGGAAAAGTGGTTCCCAGAGCAGTCATCGGCGCTCGCTGCGCTAGACTGGTCTGCTCTTCGAAAGAAGCTCCGAAGCTGCCCGATGGCTTGGGCGTCTACCACCTTGCGCGGATTCCTTGGCGGGTGGCCCACGTCTTCGAGGATCACGACGGTGGTGGGGCAGCGCGGTTGCATTTTCGGTTGTGAAGGATGCAAGGACGAGATTGGTCATCACCTTCAATGCCGTGGGCTAGCGCGGGGAATCGCTATGGCAAAATCTGGTGGTCGCCGCTATCTTCCCGAAGATGTGCTCACGAGATGGGGTCTCAAATCAGCTACGGACGAGAATCCTCTCAGCATGCAATTGGCAACGATGATTTATCACGACGTGCGGTATGATGATTTTGTCCCACCTGGGGCGCTCCTTCATGCAACTCAAGGTGCGCTATGCGTACGCGCCCTGGTTCGACCCACAGCTGGGTGGACGTCGTGATCGGGTGCGTCAGCCGTGGCCAGGATTACGTCGCCTCCACCATCGGCCTGTGCGGCAGCTTCACCACCTTCGTGGGCTTTCCCTTTGGATGAGCTTCTGGGTGGTGTCCCATTTGGACTTCATGCTCTGCATGATTTGCTACCTCATCGAGCTCGCTTCCCCTTGGCATTGGGGGGGCAGCGCTTCGGGTAACCGCCGATGCTGGGTGCAGGACACAGGCTAACAGCACGTTTGGATGGACTTCTTCTACGAGTTGCTTCGTGGGCAAGGAATTGGTTGCCGTCAATATTTCGACCTGGGCCGGTACAGTCTGATTTCGGTGATCGGATGGTTTGGTGCCCTGCCAAGCTTGCTGAGGTGCTTCGCCACCGGTGCTTCCAAGGGCTGTTTCCTGAACCTGACGCCCAATCCCAACCCAGGTGGGAGTTGGGCTCTGTCATCGCGCACGCTTGCTGGCACAATACGGCGGGATCGCGTCGCAAACTGGAGATGCATCTACGTGGGCCTTGGCCGCGAGCCGACTCTGTTCGTCAGATGGCTATCGCCCACCGCAGGGAGGAGCATGACACTCTTAGGCGCTGGTCGCATGAGGTAACGAGCTTCTTGCCACAGCACCTGGTCGTTCGTTGGTCCGAGAGCGAGACCGCATCAGGCCGAGCGCGCCCGCAGCATCATCCAGACGATCGCTTGCGTGGACACGAGATGTACTGTGCGCTGGTGGATAGAGTCTGTGCGTGGTCCTGCTGCACTGTGGGGCGAGGTCTATCGCCAGCAGCGCCAAGAGGTGGGAGGTGGCCATAGAGGTCTGCATGCACGGGTGGTGCACATGAGCCGGTCCACGAGAGTTATCCGCACTCAGTTGAACGAGCCATGGAATGTTCGCGATGATCTAAGGTTGCGTCAACTTCGTCGTCGTAGGGCTTCAGCTGCTTCGACAATTGGAACGGAAAGCAAACGCCACGCGCATGCCAACGGAAGAACAAGAAGACCACCTGCTGATTCAAAGGACATTCGCTGGACGGCAGCCGCCTGCGCTCCTGTCTCTCCTGTACCCTCAGAATCACGTGCCCGCTGGCTCTGCTGTGGGCGTGAGCGCATCTGATCATCTGGTGAACAATTGCCAGATGAAGACGAGGGTAGTATTGGTAGCGATGGTTTTCCCAACCCGTCCGACGTGGATACCGGGATGATGCAAGCTGCTGCTGACGAGTCCACCTGCGCCGACGCTGCTGTCCATGGCGCTGCTGAACCGAATGAGAATGACACCATGTCTCCTGGCGAATATGCCCACCATGTCGGCCCCATCTTATCGGGCGGGGAGTTCGAGAGACACGTCCAAGCTGCGCTGCGACGGTCCAGGGAGGAACCGCATACAGGCGGACGCGCCCCCACGGCGGCGTATTCGTCGGGATTGGTTGGTGCGCCGTCTCGAGGGTCAATTCGTGCAGTGCCGCTCCATTCTGGGCTCGATGGAGGAGGCGACAACTCGAGCGAGAACGACGGCGAGTTTGACAAATTGATGGCCGCGCATGGTGCCGGTGTGATTTATCCAGGCGGTTCGCTTGGAGATGCGCTTCGTGGCGGAGATAGAGAGGTGGCTCCTGATGGGTGTCCGTCTGCTGGCGTCGCTGGGCCTGATGAGGGACTACGTGACGGTGCTGGTACGAATGGCGTGCTAACTGGGCTTGGCGGAGCCGAGGACGAGAATGAGGAGAGGGCTTTTCAGCAGTTTAGGGCTGTGCAGACAGTCAGCTCGTTCGTGGCCTCTGTCCTCTCTGCTTCTCAGTATGGGCCTTCGTCTGCACGCTCGTCGGGCGATTCCCTTTCGCCCGCGCAGCTGGTCGCGACGACAGAGTACATGGGCACGCACTACCACCTGTCGGCCGAGCACCGCGAGCTGGTTCTGTGGGTACTGCACAATCTTGGCGCTTTGCTGGAGGACGATGCTAGACTCAACTTCTCACTGCCCGTCTGCGGCATGGATAACCCCATCGAAGATGACAAAGACAGCGACTCCGACGAGCTGATGCTAGCCACAGTTGGTTATGAAGAGACAGACGAGCTCGACTTTACCCCCATTGAGGCTATGCATGACCTCGCTAGTCATGGGCCCGATTCTGACCCAGATGACGCACATGCGGGGACTTTAGCCATGGTGACCTATCATTAGGTGACTCATCCTGGTGACGCTCATACGGCGGTGCAGGAGGTCGTCGCGGTCGTCGCCACCGCGGATGCACCAGAGTTGGATTCCAATGAAGTTCCCGAAGTGGACGCCAACACCGTGGACTACGGCGACGTCGCCTCCTCCGCCGAGCCTCTGAGCGGCGAGTTCGAGGCGGGCGCGCGCGGCGACTGCGCGGCTTAGACAAAGACCCGCCTCTCAGTGGCGTGGGATCCTCCTCCTCCTCCTCCTCCTCCTCCTCTTCCTCCCCCTCCTTCCATTCATCCTCCCCGTCCCCCTCTCCCCCTGTCCCTCCTCCTCCGACTCCTTCTCCTCCCTCTCCCTCTTCCTCCTCCTCCTCCTCCTCTTCCTCCCCCTCTTCCTGAGTCTGCATTTCTTGTCCTTGTGCAAAATTCCTCCCTGTCAGACCCTGGGCCTGGTCGAAAGGGTGGGCCGCGCGTTTCGCATGAGACTTCTTTTCCGCGTGTGGTTCTCAATCTTGGGATTCGCAGCAGCTTCGCGGATAGAGGGCGGGTGGTTTTTAACATGTGGTTTTCGCGTGTGGTTCTTTTCCAGCATGTGGTTCTCGCTTTAACGCCGCGCGCATTTGTTTTGAAAGTGCGCAGCAGTTTCAAGGATTCTTTTGGCCATCGTCCCAGACTTGGTGTTTTGGCACGATGTCGCATTGTCAGGGCGCACCAGTTACGTCAGTTCGCGGTTTTGAAGTCCCAGGGATGGTGTTCTGGCACGATTCTGGGTCTTCAAGACGCAACAGTAACGGTGAGTCGGGGCGTTGACGTCCCAGGATGGTGTTCTGGCACAGCTCAAAATGTGCAAACGATTGTCTTCCAACGGGGCACCCCCCCATCTTCATCATCATCATCATCATCATCATCATCATCATCAGCATCATCATCATCATCGTCATCGTCAGCATCAACATCCGCATCATCATCATCAGCAGCATCATCATCAGCAGCATCATCCGCATCATCATCAACATCTTCATCAGCATCATCACCATCATCAGCATCATCATCATCATAATCATCATCATCCCCCTTCTTCTTTCCCTTCTCTCACAGGGCCATCCTTCTCCTCTTCTTCATCCTTCCTCTCCGCCTCCACCCGCGTGCCCGCTGGATGGAGGTTATCCTCAGGAGTTGGGCTCTCCAGGGCTTGGGTGTCCTCGCTCGAGGGGGTCATGGTCTGCCTGGGCACAGTGCCCCTTCGGCAGCTGGCCACACTCGGCACCAGCTGGAGTGGCACAACCAAAAGACCACCCCTTCCTTCCCGGCGGCACCGCAGCACGAAAGCCGCAGCGAGGCACTGAAGTATGAGGAGGAGGAGGAGGAGGAGGAGTAGGAGGAACAGGAGGAAGAGGAGGAGGAGGAGGAGGAGAACGAGGAGGAAGAGAACAAGGAGGGGGAGGAGGAGGAGGAGGAGGAGGACGAGGAGGACTCTTCCTCCTTCTCCATCATCTCCTTTCTTCGTCCTCTCCTCCCCCCCCCTGTGCGCCAGGGGTGGGCGGGGAGTGGCGGCCGTGGAGGCGGGCGCCGGCTGCGTCACCGTGGGGCGCCCACTCCCCCCCCCAGCGCACAAGGCTGTCTTGCCGCTCTCGCGGCAGCTGAGGGGCGCCGCCGACAACGTCACGCCCCGCGTGGAGCTCTTCCGCCTGGTGCCGATCACGGACCTGTCGGGCGAGCTGAAAGGCTGCCGGGGCGCCGACGCCGACGGGCTGGGAGTCGGAGGAGGAAGAGGCACCGTCCGTCCCTCGCCGCCGCGGCCGGCGTCGCCTCGATAATCCTTGGTCAGGACGCGGCCATTTGGGGAGGTCTGGGGAGTAGCGGTATCTGAGATGTCCGGCGAAGGCATACCGGGGATCGAATGAGCCCTCACCTTGTCAGAAGCCAGGCGAAGATTGGCAAACCCGTGGCTGCTGAAACGGAGCTCCGAGAAATTGATTTTCTTCTTCCGGGAAGCAGCCCGTTCACTACTTAGTGCGCGGAGTTTGATTCTGGGAGTTTGCTTTGTTCTTCTGGGAAGACCGTTTTCCCTGCAAGACGCATCTAAGAATAACAGAGGCCTTGGTGCAGGCGAGAAGCCGATCGTATCTTTTTTTCTGCAGCGACGACAATATAGATACTATTTTTAGATGCGCGCATATCTTCCAGCGATGGGCGCCGTATTGAACCGTATCTAAACACATATCTATTTGTACCTAAGAATGACCCCGTATCCAAACTTAGAAAGAACACGTACTTCCCGTATCTAAAAAGGAAGACATCGTTTCTAGACGTATCTATTTTTGAGACAGGTCTATTCGTACTGAATGTTCTTCATGAAGGCGCTGTAAAACACATTTGATTGAGTGAGGAAATTGAAATACCACGCGGTCCTTCCGAATGCGGCTGCCGCTTCGGAAATGAGCGACAACATAACTTTTAGATGTGTCTTCCAGGGTTAGCAGCCACGGATTTGCCAGCCCCCACCCAGCTTCCAGCCCTGCCGAGCCGATCAGCCCGCCGGGCCCCGCTTCCGGCCCCTCGAGAGAGTGGTGCAGCCGCCATCGATCACGCCTGCGGGCCTGTGCCCCTCGGGTGTATATTGCGGCCCCATGGGCCGCTGGTTCCGGAGGGCGCTCTGCTGCAGGGGGTCCTGTCCACCCCCGAGTGGAGAGGTCGGACGCCGCGGCCGCCAAGGCCGACCACGAGTCCGACCCCCGGACCCTGGACCTCTGGCGTCCGGCAGACACCACGCTTGCAGGCTTTCTTCCCCAATCTGTGCTTGCACTGAAGGGGTCCTAGCGGAAGTTGAAAGATTTGGCGAACGTTTCCCGCCGATTTTGGCAGCAGGCTGGGTTCCCGGGTTCCCGGATCCGGGTGGTTCTGGGTTCCCGGATTCCCGGGTTCCCAGGTTCTGGGTTCCCTGGCTCTGGGTTCCCGGGCTCCCGGGTTCCCCGTCGATCTCCTCAGCGAAAACCATCCATTGATTGGGTTTTTTCTCTGGTGTGATCTGGTTCGGCCACCGCCGCACGCGCAGCTCATCATGCTCCGAGCGTGCCTCCTCCTCATTGCCCTTCTGCCTCCTCCTCTACCCCTCCTCCCTCCTCCTTCCTCCTTCCCGGGGCGACCCTCTGCCTTTCCCACTCCCGCTGCACAGGTGCAACAAAACATTTGCCGGCCCGCGGCCCGCTTCAGCCCGATTGATGATGATGATGATGATGATGATGATGATGATGATGATGATGATGCTGATGCTGATGATGATGATGATGATGATGATGATGGTGATGGTGATGGTGATGGTGATGGTGATGGTGATAATGGTGACAATGAGGATGCTCATGGTGCTGATGCTGATGAGGATGCTGATGAAGCTGATGCTGATGAGGATGATGACGATGCTGATGATGCTGGTGGTGATAATGAGATGCTGCCGGTGCTGACGATACTGATGCTGATGATGCGGACGATGATAATGATGATGATGATGATGAGGATGAGGATGACGATGCTGATGATGATGATGTTCATGTTCATGATGATGATATTGCTAAGGCTTGTGATGAGGATAATCCTGATGATGATGAGAATGACAATAATCAAAAGGATGATAATGAGGATGCTAATAACAATGCTGCTGCTGCTGATGATGATGGTTATGATGCTAATGATGCTGCCGATTATGCTGACGATGCTGATGCTGAGGATGATGCTGATGCTGATGATGATGGTGATGATCATGCTGATGCTGATGATGATTATGGTGATAGTGCTGATGCAGATGATGATGATGATGATGCCGATGCTGATGATGATTACGATCCCGATGTTGATGATGGGGAGGACGAGGACGATGGTGAGGATGATGTTTATGGTGATGCCGCTGATACTGATGCTGATTACGATGCTGATGATGAGAAAGATGATGCTCATGATGTTGAGGATGATGATGCTGATGATGATGATGACGATGACGACGACGATGCTGATGCTAATGATGATGATGATGATGATGAGGAGGATGATGATGCTGCTGCTGCTCATGATGATGATGGTGATGATGATGATGATGATGATGATGATGATGATGACGATCAAGGTAATCATGATGATCATGATGGAAACCAGTAAAAGAAAACAAAACAAGTGTGTCGCCCAAGACATCCTCAGTCATTCGGCACGCAAAGTGCGCGATCCTCGAGCGGGCACGCAAAAAAACAACCTTCCTTCTGAAAAACAAGCGCGGGGCTCGAGGCATCCTCGAAATTCCTGCGCGCGGGACGCGCCATCCTCGAGCGGGCATGCAGAAAGTCAAGTTTTCCATATTTGTTGTATCGGAGTTTCGTTTTGTTCGTGTCGTGCGTGCGGGCGAGGCGAAGCTGCGTGGGCGCGCGAGAGAAATGAACCCACAGTTGCTAGGCCCGCCGCTGCTAGGGCGAAGTCAAGACAAATGTTTCTCCTCCGTCCGGCGGTGGCTCGCGGTGTCCCGCGGTGTCCTGCCGTTGCTATGGCGGAGTCAAGACACATGTTTCTTCTCCGTCCGGCGGTGGCTCGCGGTGCCCCACGGTGTCCCGCCGCTGCTAGTTCGAAGTGAAGACACGTGTTTCTCCTCCGTCCGGCGGTGGCTCGCGGTGTCCCGCCGCTGCTAGTTCGAAGTCAAGACAAATGTTCTCCTCCGTCCGGCGGTGGCTCGCGGTGTCCGCCGTTGCTAGGGCGAAATCAAGACAAATGATTCTCCCCCGTTCGGCGGTGGCTCGCGGTGTCCCGCGGCGTCCCGTGGTGTCCCGTGGTGTCCCGTGGTGTCCGCCGTTGCTAGGGCGAAGTCAAGACAAATGATTCTCCCCCGTCCGGCGGTGGCTCGCGGTGTCCCGCGGCGTCCCGTGGTGGCCCGTGGTGTCCCATGGTGTCCGCCGTTGCTATGGCGAAGACAAGACAAATGATTCTCCCCCGGCCGGCGGTGGCTCGCGGTGCCCCGCAGTGTCCCGTGGTGTCCCGTGGTCCGTTGAGTGAGATCGATAGTGAGCTCGATAGTGATATCGATACTGGGATCGATGTGGTGCCCCGAGGTGTCCCGTGGTGTTCCAAAAAGTGAGATCGATAGTGAGATTGAGAGTGAGATCGACAGGTGTCCCGTGGTGTCCCGTGGTGTCCCGTGGTGTCCCGTTGAGTGAGATCGATAGTGGGATCGATCGTGCGATCGATAGTGAGATCGGTAGTGAGATCGAGAGGTGTCCCGCGGTGTCCCGTGGTGGCCCGTGGTGTCCCGTTGAATGAGGTCGATCGTGAGATCGATAGTGAGATCGTCAAGTGTCCCGTGGTGTCCCATGGTGTCCCGGGTTTCTCCGTTGAGTGAAATCGATAATGAGATCGATTGAGTCAGATGTTGGTTCCCCGCCTCCCCCCATAACCGCCTTATCACCCGAATGGTGATCGTGTAGGCAATTATTGTTGGGTCTCCATGCTTCGTGTTTTATATGGCATTCTGCCCAAAATGCTCCGCAACCCGTTTTTCACGGGGGAAAGCGTGTGTCTGCGGACCTTGTCTGCTATCGAGGATCCGAGATCCAAGATACAGTTTCCTTGAGCGGGCACGCGCGAAACGCATATTTGCAAAAACACAGATACTTCACTTTGTCATTTATCGGCAGTAATTCCGCCGGCCCTCTTCAAGACGAAACCAGGGGTACACAACTACATGAGAATCCTGTGCAGTAGCCGCTTCTGGGAAAAATAGCCTTGGGAAGGACCCAACCAAACGCAGTTATGAATACCGCACTTGTGAGTCTCGCTTTCAGTGGAACTGCTCACTGGCCACGAAAAACTGCACTGGACGGGGGAGACGCATGCGAACTTTGCCACTGGGGCCTCCTGTGGAGCTCCCAATGGGACCACGGAGCGTTGTACCGGGTGGGGAAGCCGCATGCGAACATTGCCAGTGGGGCCTTCGGTGGAGTTCCTTTTGGGGGCACGGAACGCTGCACTGGGTGGCGGAAGCGCATGTCGACTTTGCCATCCGTGCCTTTGGTGGAGCTCCCTGTGGCGGCACGAAGCGTTGTAATGGGTGGGGAAGCGCATGCGAGAGCAGCAACTGGGGCCTCCGGTGGACTGCCCCTATCGGCCACGAAGCGATGTACTGGGTGGGGGAGCCGCATGCGAGTGCATCCACTGAGGTCTTCGATGGAGCTCCCCATGGGGCCACGAACGTTGTCATGGTTGGAAGAGACGCATGCGAGAGCAGCAACTGGGGCGTTCGGTGGAGCTCCCTATGGGGCCACGAAGCGCTGTACTGGGCCTTCGGTGAAGCTCTTTACGGGGCCACGAAGTGGGGGAAACGCATGCCAGCACCGCCACTGGGGCGCTCGGTGGAGCTTCCTATGGGGCCACGAAAGGTCATAGTGGGTGAGGGAAACGCATGCGAACTCCGCAACTGGGCCCTTCGGTGGAGCTTCCTATGGGGCCACGAAGCGTTGTACAGGGTAGGCGAAAGCATGCGAACACCGCCAGTGGGGCTTTCGGTGGAGCTCTCTATGGGGCCATGACACGCTGTACTGGGTGAGAGGAACGCATGCGAGAGCAGCCACTGGAGCGTTCGGTGGAGCCCTTTAAGGGGCTACGAAGCGCTGTATGGGTGGTGGAGGCTCATTCTGATGCGGGCCGAAGCAAGGAGGGGGAGGAGGAGGGAAGGGAGAAAAAGAGGAGAGGCCACGCGGGGACTGTCTTTTCAAAACGAGTACCCAACAAAGGTTGATTGGGAACAAATGAGGCTTCACTTCACAATGAATCACAAAACACTCCGCCTGCCCGCCCCCAGCATTGCACCCGGGACAGTTACCCTACTAACAGAGAACCTTGGGCCCACGCCCTTTCCAAGAAAATCATGACGCCGGGGGGTTGTGGCTCTGGGCCTCCTGGGTGGGTTCGAGGTAGGTGGTGTCGGAGGATCGCGCCGCATTGCCGATGCGGCTCGCGCTGGCGTCGCCGATGCACCGCCGACGTCGCCGATGCATCGTCGATGCATCGACGATGCGGCGCGATCCTCCGACCCCACCTGCTCGGACCACATCTGGAAGGCCTCCAACAGCTGGGATGGGATCGAGAGTTCCAGGAACAGGGCCCAGGGCCTTGAAGGGGTCCCCCAGGGGCCCCGAAGGTGCACGAAAGGTGTACCTTTCTTCACCGCCCCCCCTCGCCCACCCTCCGTTCGTTGCCCCGTCATGTGGCAGTGCCCGCCGCGGGGCCCACGTTAACATTGGCGTCGGAGGTCTGGGAGGGATGCAGGGCCAATTTCGGCCCTGTCGATCCGGTGCCCATTCCGATTAGATTTCGAAGCCCCGACGGCCCGATGCGGCCCGACGCTTGCACGGCGCTGTTGTGCATCGTGACGAGGCCGATCCGCTTTGATCTCGGCCTTATGCCGGCGCAGCCCGATCCGACGCACATGTCGATTCGATTTGATTGCCTGATGCGGCGTTCACTACATACGATGGGCGGGGCCTCTGTGTCGGCAGGCCCGCAGATGGCTTTGGTACGTTTGCATACCTCCTCCCACCAGGCGACGACCAGGTGCTCTGCCGGCTACCCGACTCGACCTTTGACTGCGCGGCGATCGAGGACATCTGCCAACGGTGCGACGACGCCGAGGTGCTTGCTGAGCGGGTTCGAGAATCCTTGATGACTTCCTCGCGTAGGCCCGAGACCCTGGACGAGCGGACGTCGATAACAACGCCCAGTGCAGGCATGTGTTGCTTCCCTCGCTTGTCGGGGAGATACGGTAACTAGGGGGTAAGGGAGGAAGGAGGGAAGGAAAGAAGGAAGGGAGGGAGGGAGGAAGGGAGGAGGAGGAGGAGAGGAGGGAGATAATGGAAGAGGGCGAGGATGGAAGCGGGAATAGCAGGAGGCGGGTTCAGGGAGAGGAGCGCATGGGCAGGGGAGGCCATGGAGGAGCGGTACGACGCTGGCCCACCCCTGAGATACGACGTCCCGAAAAGGTGCAACATCGTACAAATCGTGTGCAGAGGCCTAGAACCCATCATCCTGCAGCATTTCAGGAGCCGGGTCGATCCGCGACCGTCCTGGGGCCCGAAATTGGACGAACATGATCGACCCACAATCCCAGAAAGGAATATATAAATGTAAGGCATGGCGGCGTTTCAAAGACACCTGATTGGGAGACGGGCAAATGCAATGTTGAGTGTCTCGATCTTGATGTACCGTGCCGAGGGCTGTGCTGTGCTGCGCCGGCTGAATTGCGATGTGCCATGCCGCGATTGTGCTCTACATATAGCGTTGTGGATCGAGTCCTCCTTTGCATCTGAGTCCTGACCGAACTGATCTGGATCTTAAGCTCGAGCTGCCTGAGCACATAGTAGCTGCCCCAAAGCTAATTGACAGGGGGACATGCTAGGAGGACGCGCCGCGGAACGTCCCAAGGGACGCGCCAAGCGACGTGCCAAGGGACGTGCCGTGGGGACGCACCGCGGGACGTGCCAAAGGGACGCGCTACGGAACGTGCCAATGGACGTGCCACGGGACGTGCCAGGGGACGCGCCGCGCGACGTGCCAAGGGGACTCGCCACGGGACGCGTCACGGAACGTGCCAAGTTGCAATGCTGAATGCATCGATCTTGATGTACCGTACCGAGCGCTGTGCTGTGTTGCGCCGTGCTGAACTGCGATGTGCCATGCCGCGATTGTGTTCTACATATAGCGTTGTGGATCGAGTCCTCCGTGGCATTCGAGTCCTGACCGAACTGATCTGGATCTTAAGCTCGAGCTGCCTGAGCACATAGTAGCTGTCCCAGAACGAATCGACAGAGAGGACATGCCAGGAGGACGCGCCGCGGAACGTCTCAAGGGACGCGCCAGGCGACGTGCCAGGGGACGTGCCATGGGCACGCACCGCGGGACGTGCAAAGGGGACGCGCTACGGAACGTGCCGATGGACGTGCCCGGAGGACGCGCCGCGGAACGTCCCAAGGGACGCGCCAGGCGACGTGCCAGAGGACGTGCCATGGGCACGCACCGCGGGACGTGCCAAGGGGACGCGCTACGGAACGTGCCAATGGACGTGCCGCGGGACGTGCCAGGGGACGCGCCGCGCGACGTGCCAGGGGGACTCGCCACGGACCGCGCCAAGGAACGCGCCAAGGTGCAATGTTGAGTGTCTCGATCTTGATGTACCGTGCCGACGGCTGTGCTGTGCTGGTCCGTGCTGAAATGCGATGTGCCATACCGCGCGTGTGCTCTATATATAGCGTTGTGGATCGAGTCATCTTTGCATCCGAGTCCTGACCGAACTGATCTGGATCTTAAGCTCGAGCTGCCTGAGCAGATGGTAGCTGCCCCAGAACTAATCGACAGGGGGACATGCCAGGAGGCGCGCCGCGAAACGTCCCAAGGGACGCGCCAGGCGACGTGCCAGGGGACGTGCCGTGGGCACGCACCGCGGGACGTGCCAAGGGGACGCGCTACGGAACGTGCCAATGGACGTGCACCGCGCGACGTGCCAGGGGGACTCGCCACGGGACGCTCCGCGGAACGTGCCAGGCAACATGCCAGGCTGCAATGCTAAGGGTATCGATCTTGATGTAACGTGCTGAGGGCTGTGCTGTGCCTGGGCGACCTGGACACGTGAAAACACGCGTTTCGCTCAAGACGTTCTCAGCACATCCTCATGCTAGACATCCGCCTGGGCAACCTGGACACGTGCAAACAAGCGTCTCGATCGAGAATTCCTCGACACATCCTCATGCTAGACATCCGCCTGGGCGATCTGGGCACGTGAAAACAAGTCTCTGGCTCGAGACATCCTCAACAGATCCTCACGCTAGACATCTGTCTGGGCAACCTGGAGGTGTGAAACCAAGCGTCTCGCTCGAGACATCCTCAAGACCTGGGCATGTGAAAGCAAGGATTTTTTCTATATCGCAAAACAAGCGTTTCGCTCGAGACATCCTCAACAACTTCTGAACAACAAGCGTGTCGCTCGAGACATTCTCAAAAATAATTCCGCCGGCCTCCTTCAAACTCGTCATTTATCGCAAAATAATTCCGCCGGCCTCCTTCAAGTCGAAACCGGGGGTAACAATAGAACCCTGGGACGGAGCCCTTTCCGGGAAAACCGTCGGGTTTGAACAGATTGCGACGCCAGGACCTCAGAGACGCGGCGCCCACACCTCCGAGACAGCAGTGGATATTGGCGGTCAGACCTGACTCCGTGGCTCCGCCCGGGCGACGGGGAGGAGGAGGAGGAGGAGGAGGAGGAGGAGGAGGAGGAGGGAGGGAGGAGGGAGGAGGAGGAGGGGGAGAAGGAGGAGAGGGGGAGGGGGAGGGGAGGGGGAGGAGGAGAATCATTGTCATTGCCCACACAGGGAGGAAGGGGAGGGGGGGGAGGAGGAGGAAGACAAAGATGCAGGAGGAGGGCGGTGAGGTGGAGCTTGGGGGTGTCGGGGAGGAGAATACCAAGTGGCGATTGGCTGGGAGGCAACAGGAGGAGAGGAGGAGGTAGACGCGCAGGCACCCCTCCGTCCACTGGGCGAGGGGGCCTGATCAGCCTGGAGATGGGGAGGCAGACCTCGCGCAGCGGAGGACGCCCCCTCGCCGCTTTTTTTTGTTGCTTTGCCCCTCGACTTCGCGATCGACAGCCGCTCGCGCACGGCGTGCTTCCCACTGGGGTATCGATCGTCGTCGTCGTCGTCGTCGTCGTCGTCGTCGTCGTCGTCGTCGTCGTCGTCGTCGTTGTCGTCATCGTCGACGTCGTTCCATCTTTGGGGACCTCAGCAGTCGGTGGACCTGGTTGCGGGGGGGGAGCAAGGATATATCCACGTCCACCGCCTGCGCCGAGGTCTCATAAAAGATCGATGCCCCAGGGCCCCAGGCGGCGGTTCCCGACAGCTGGCTCCCCGCCCCGCACCCTCCCCGACGAGGCCTCCCCTCGTTTGTTTCGCGTGAGCCTGCCGAGGCGAGCGCGAAGGTCGCCGTGCCCCGCACCTCCGTGGCTCAGGGCCGGGGCCGGCGCCTCCCCCGCCCCTCCACCCCGTCGGAGGCGAACAGCCCGAGGGGGGAGCGGGCACCTCGTAGTGTTATCCAGGGGCGCCGCTGGCCCTCGTCTTCGGCGAGGCCCCCCCTCTCGAAGGCCCAGGCAGGGCGCCGACAGCGGGGCCGCGTTGGGTCTGCAAGGGGCTCGCTGTTCCTCATGGGCCAGTCGGCGGCAGTGTTGCTCTGGCCCTCCTCGTGCGCGCGGGCGCTGCTGGTGCCAAGAGAAGCCTTCGTCCCTATCCTGGCGTTCCCCGCTGCAGCAACTTGACTGCACGTGCCATGCCCGCCCCTGGGACTGTTCGCCCCCGTCGTCGCCTCCGACCTGCACCCCCGCCCACAGGGGCTGGCGGCGCGCACCGGGGGTAGGGGTAGGGGGAGGGGGAGGGCTTCTGAGAAGGAGGCTGCTTCTTAGAAGGCGCCGGCCCTACAGCTACAGAGAAGGCCCGGGCACTCTAAGGGGCAGGGGTGCTCCTGAGAAGCTCTCCCCCCTCCCACCCCCCCCCCGCGCGTGGCTGAGGGGGGGGGTGGCCCGGTGGCGCGACGAGGTCGAGGAGGGCCGCGCGTCGCGCCTCGCTCCGGCGCCCGGCGCGCGGAGGGTCCTGGCGGCCAGCGGGCGACGCCCGCGGCGTCCGAGGGGGCGGCCGTCCAGAGCTTGCCGGCCAGCTTGACGCAGATGCCCATATCAGCCACGCGCAGCGGGGAGGGGGGAGGGCTTCTCAGAAGCGCCCCTGCTTCTTAGGAGGCGCGGGCCTCATCTTTAGATGTAAGGCCGGCGCCGTCTAAGAAACAGCCTCCTTCTATAAGAAGCCCCCCTCCCTCCCACCACCCCCTCGTGCGCGCCGCCAACTATATCCCAATGTTTGGCGTCACCTTACCCCGGGGCCGATCGTAGGATTTCCCTCGGCTTCTGGGGGCACGTCCCTAAGGTTGTCGTTGCCCTGGGGTTGCCGATCTTAGGGGGCGGTGCGGATGAGTTCGGGGCTGGTCAAGAGCGGGGTGCGGCCCCACAGCCCTGCCGCTGCTGCTCCTGATCTGCCGCCTGCACGCCCACCCTGCCGGCCCCGGCCTCCCGCCTGCGCGTTCGTCGTTGCCTGCCTGCTTCTCCCCTCCTCTTCCCCCTCCGCCGGGCGGCACAGCCTGCCCCCAGCGTGGCGGCGCGTAGGGCATGCAGTGCCTCCCGCCCCCGGAGCGAAGCGACCCGTTATCAGTGAGACCCCCCCTCTGGACGCTGCCGTCCTTCCTCCCCCTCCTTGCCGTAAGTCGGGCCTGTCCCCCGACATGGGGATTTTCGACGGAAAATTAACATGATGGACCCACGAACCCGGAAAGGGATAAAGACATGTGCAGCATGGTCACGTTTTCACGATACCCAATTGGGCGACATCTCACGAAACATCCCACGAGACACCCCGCGAAACATCCCACGAGACACCTCACGAAACATTCCACGAGACACCTCACGAAACATTCCACGAGACACCCCGTGAAACATTCCACGAGACACCCCACGAACAGGCAACCACTCAACCAGACACGCCACGAAACATTCCACGGGGGTGCGACTGGGTGTGGTCGTGCTGGGGTGTGGTCGTGCTGGGGTGTGGTCGTGCTGGGGAGTGGTCGTGCTGGGGTGTGGTCGTGCTGGGGGGTGGTCGTGCTGGGGGGTGGTCGTGCTGGGGGGGTGGTCGTGCTGGGGGGTGGTCGTGCTGGGGCGTGGTCGTGCTGGGGCGTGGTCGTGCTGGGGCGTGGTCGTGCTGGGGCGTGGTCGTGCTGTGGTGAGGTCGTGCTGGGGTGTGGTCGTGCTGGGGTGTGGTCTTGCTGGGGTAGGGTCGTGCTGGGGTCGGGTCGTGCTGGGGTGTGGTCGTGCTGGGGTATGGTCGTGCTGGGGTGGGGTCGTGCTGGGGTGGGGTCGTGCTGGGGTCTGGTCGTGCTGGGGTGTGGTCGTGCTGGGGTATGGTCGTGCTAGGGTGGGGTCGTGCATTTCGCTCGAGACATCCTGCCAAAATTCCAGGAAATCGTACAAAAACAAACGAATTAGTCGAGACATCATCGAAATTCCTGCGCGCGGGGCGCTTTTCCGCGTCGCGGTCGGCTCTGCAAAACCAGCGTGTCGCTCGAGACATCCTCAACAAATTCTGAAACCAAGCGTTTCGCTCGAGACATCCCCAACTCTGCAAAACCAGCGTCTCGCTCAAGACATCCTCAACAAATTCTGAAACAAACAAGCGTTTCGCTCGAGACATCCTCAAAAATAATTTCGCCGGCCTCCTTCGCTCTCGATATTTATCCGGGAACAATTTCGCCGGCCTCCTTCAAGTTGGGCACGGGGGACTATGTTTACATACTAAAAGAGAACCCTGGGCCGACGCCCTTTCCGGGAAAAATGCCCCAAACATGATTTAAACATAGTCATGCGTAGTCTGGGGACTATTTTTTGGGTATTGTTTGACTTTTTGGGGGTACTTTTGGGTGTTTTTTGTTTTCGTAGAAAATCCCCCTGTAAGGGGGACACGCCCGACATAATCCTTGCCGCGCGCAACTCGTGCTGGCGATTTCCACACAGGTGCTGCGTCTTTCGGCCCCGCCTCCGGCGGCGGGGCTGGCACGAGCTGGGAGCGTCGGTGCCGCTGCCCGAGTTCTCGCGAGGGGTGGTCAGGCTGGGGGCTGGCGGTACTCATCATCGTCTTACCGACCCCCTATCCCCATCCACTTCCCCATCCAGACGCCCACCATATCAGCATCCCAGTTGGGTATATACCCCTCGAAGCCCGAAGGAGACGGCCTACATCCCCATCCAGGGGGTTAAATCAGCCAGTGGGGCCCAGGCCACGCCCATGGGGATGGTGGTCCGTTAAACGATGCTCAGGTATTCGTGCCTCGCGGGGGGGGGGATCACTTCCCTGGGAGGGTCGGCCCGTCTTATTGGGAAGGCCTTGCAGCCGGTCCTGCCGGCCCTGAAGGGGAACGACGACAGCGACTGCGGCGGCGGCGGCGACGACCACGACGACGACGACGCTGACGCTCTGGAGCCCTTCTTGGGGCCTATGGGGCTCTGTGGGGGGGCCTCTTGGGGGACCGCTTGGGAAGCTCTGTGGCAATTTGGAGCCGCCTCGGAGCAGATCTGAGGTCTCTTGGCGACATGTAGGAAAAGACGCAGCACCCCGCAACAGCAGATAAGAGTGAGGAGGGTGCTTCCGGGGGGGGGAGGTCCAGGAGGAAGGAGGGATGGTAGTCCCTTCGTCCACAGGAGGGGGGCGGGGGGAAGGGTCCTGAATTTCCCCTGTCCTTAAGGGGACCGCCCCCTTGTCCCCCTTGTGCACAGGGGGGACCCCCTGGGTGGGAGGTCATGACCCATGGGACCTCCACTGGGACCCCCCCTGCTACCCCCCCCGCTTCTGCCAGGGAAGGGATCAAAGGGAAGGGGCTTCCCTTCGAATCAATTACGACGTTGTTTGGTTCCCGTCTGGCTTGATCGCTCAAGGAGGAGGGGTAAGGAAAAGGACGGGAGCTGCGACGGCGACGGCGACGGCGACGACGACCCAAACGGCAAAACGGCTCGCACACGCCAACAGGGTCGGCGAATTTCGCGCTGACTCGCCTATCGCTTCCCTCCCCCCTCCAGTCCCAGCCTCCCGCGCAGCGAAGTGATCCATTAATCCCTCCCTCCTTTCCTCCATCCTGACTGTTCCTTATCCACCAGACGTGTCCGCAGGCCCGGCCAGGCGTTTCGTTTGAGCCTTCTTTAAGATTCGCTATGTTGCAGCTAGACATCCCAACAGCCATATGGAGGAAGGCCCGGTCGTTTTCAAAATGCGGTTCTCGCCCTAGCGCCGCGCACATTCGATTTACACGCTTCCAGCATTTTCACGGATGGAGGGCCCGTGCTTTTCAACATTCCCCTCTCGCTTGAGCGTTGCGCGCATGTGTTTTTTCAAGTTCTCAACCGTTTCACGGTTGGATGGCAAGTAGATTTCAGAATGCACCCTTCGCCTTCGCCCCCGCCGCATTCGGTTCCAAGGTCTCCATCCGCATAGATAGCGGCTCTCGTTTCAGGCCTCTTCAGATCCTACGACCGCGACGGTCACACGGATGGAGGGCCGCTCTTTTTTAATTTGGGGTCCACGTTTGAGTTTTCCGCAAGTGTTTAGGCCAGCGTTTTGTGATTATGTGTAAGACGTGGTCGAGTGGAGACATACCTTGTTTCGAAACAGGGCGAATTATCACCTAATCATGATACCTTTTGCGTCTTTTTTTGCTGGAGGAAAACATGTGGACCGTTTACGAACTAGAGCCTCGCTCGAGTTGCAGACCGACCAGGTGCTCATCATTCAAGGGGAGTGCATTGCAAAGACGGAAATCATTCTTGTTGGAATTTATGTGGAAGGGGCTTGGAACAGGAGGGTGTTGTGTAGCAACGTTGATGTGTCCTGCGCTTCCTCTGGTCGGAGGTGGACAGACCTCCTACCCTGACACGTCGATTAAGGAATCGGCCGTTTTCGGTTCGCGAGAGGGCGTCGCGGCCGTCATTTTTGCGGGTTCAGGTCCGTCGGTTTCGGTCCCAGGCCGTGTTCACTAAGGTGAGGTTTACTAAAGGGAGGTTTGTCCACCGCCGATCCGGCCCTTCTTCCTCCTGTTCCGCCCTCTGCCCCCCCCGCGTAGCCGGTGGGCAGGTTCTCAGGGTTTCCTCGTGTGTCGTCGCCGTCACCATGTACGGCCCACGTGCTTCTTTGCTGGAGTGAAACGCATAGCATCGCGTATCTCTAAGATTGTCAGCCCATGTTTCACGTCGTCCTTCCAAGGGCGTCTTGGCTGCCCCTAGATTGCTCACCATCTGTTTTTGGGGTAGAGGGGACGGAGGGCAGGGGAATCCATACAACGGAGGATGGCTCCACGCTGCCGGCATTGTGTGGATGCAGTGCTTCGTTGTGTCATTGAGGCATGCGGTCCGCACACGCAGGGCCGAGCGCGGGCGCGTTCTAGTTGTAGGTGCGGTGGCATGGTACAGCACCGTCAAGCCTGGGCCTACCTGCTCATTTCTTGTCGATGGTTGGCATGCGTGCAGAGGGCGGGTGTGCTTCACTGCTTGTCCGCGTTGGAGTTGTGCGCTCGTGCTTCTCGTGCAGGTAGCTGGGTGTTGTCTGCAACCGCGCGCGCTGATCGAACTGCAGACTGTTTGCTTGCCTCCGCCCTTCCTTCTCCCTCCTCTCGCCCTCCCCTCGCTGTGACAGAGAAGCCGCCGGCAGCTTCTCCACTGTCGCCCTCGCCTTAGGCCTCGCCCCAGTCCTCGACCAGGGCCGCGACCGTCGGATCTGCCCAGTCTGGGCGAGGCCGCCCCTGGAGCGTCCGGCAGGGGCCAGTTGTCAGCCGCGGCGGGCCCGACGGGAGCCGGCCGGCCGATCGCGGGCTCGGAGGAGTCAAGCAGTGGCGAAGCGTCCTGGCTCGCCTATAGCCCTACCAAAGGATGTTCTAAGAGCCTTTCGTGGTTTCCAGGGCATGTTGTTAGAACATGCTTGGCGGAGTCTGTCTTGTTTTATCACATCGGGTTTGTGTTCTAAGAACATTCTTGTTATCATTGGAACACTGCTGGGTTCCAAGAACAGTTCGTGGTATAGCTATAGGAATGCCGGGACGCTGTCCCTGCTCAAAGGAGGGAGGAATCGGCTGCGCGCAAGAGTGACCCTTCGAGGGAGTGACTCTTGCAGTGCTGGCCCATGGGGGTCCTCTCAGCATTGGCCTGTGCGCTTGGAGTTGGCCTCCCGCGGCCCCCTGAAGCCGCGCGCCAAAGCTCACTCCTGTCTCGGGTCACTCTTCATCGAGGATAAACGAGACCCTAACCCTAATAACACGATGGGGATGTAGCCTCACTGAGGTCTCCGTCTTCGTATTCGGCATCGTCATTCTGGGTGGTTCGGCTCGACGCGTCTGCAGAGGAAAGACCCCTTGCCCCTGATGTTTCTGGCCCTCCTCACTCGGGTCCCCTCCCCCAGAGTGTCAGGGGCCCTTCTCTGGTTCATCCGCCCTTGCCTGCTGCCGAAGGAAGCGAGCGGCTCTGCCCTGACGGCCTGCGAGCGCTCCGCCGCCGGGCCCGAGCCCCCCCCCGGGGGGCGTGGGCAGCCGAAGCGGTTGCCCCCGAAGAAGGGCGGGCTCGAGGCCCGCAGCTCCCGGGGGGGGGGGGGGGGGGGCAGGGCCGCGCACCTCGCCTCGGCCCCCTGCGCGGCCCCAGCGCCGCCTGCCGAGGCTGTGGGCCCCGACGCGCTCACGTTCGCAGGCCAGGTCGCACGGCACGTCGGAGGGGAGCGATCCGGGATGAAGAGCCAGCCCCGGAGCAGGGGGGGGGCTTCCGCAGAGGCCACCCGTTGAAGAAGTCAGGGCGTCGGGTGGCTGGGAGCCCCTTCCCCTTCTCCGCCGGGGCGTCTGCTCCGGGTGCCCAGCACGCGGGCCGACGGCAGGGAAGACGGCCCCCCAGGCCCCCTCCCTGGGGCGCGCTCCAGACGGAGAAGGAGGAGGAGGGGGAGGAGGAGGGGGAGGAGGAGGAGGAGGAGGAGGAGGAGGAGGAGGAGGAGGAGGTGGAGGAGGAAGAGCAGGAGGAAGAGCAGGAGGAGGAGGAGGAGGAGGAGGAGGAGGAGGGAGCTTCCCGGGCGGCACCTCGATAGCCTCGAGCCTCAGGCGGCGGCGGCGGCGCGACGGCGAGGCAGACCCCAGCTCGGAGCCATCGGGGCGGCCACTGTCGGGCGCGGCGGCGCGGCGCGGCGGCGACGAGCCCGGCCTGGCCCTCGGAGCGGCCGCCCTGGCCGAGGTCTCCGCGCGGCGGCGGCTCGGCGAGGTCTGCGGCTGGCGGCTCGGCGAGGGAGGCGCGGGGGGTGCGCGCAAGTCTACTGCGGCGTCGCAGGAGCTCGACGTGTGCACCTCGTCGTGTGGTCGGCCAGGGGCCAAGGGGCTCGGCCAAGGCATGCGGTGTGTAGACCCTCCAGCGTCCCACTGGTCAGGAAGCTTGGGAGTCTATACACTAAGATCCTTGACCGACCAGATGACTTAGTGTATGTTCTTCACCCTTGGCGTGTTCCCACCGGCCCAGTCAAAAACCCGGCCAATGAGAGTTGACAGGAGAAGTGACGAAGAGGCACACGTAGTGAAACAAAACGGGCAACCAGGGTGAGCAGAGAGATTTCTAAGAGCAAGGGGGTAGCCTTGGTCGGGGGCGTGGGAGGGAGGAGGAGGGAAGGAAGAGGAGGAGGAGGAGGAGGAGGAGGAGGAGGAGGAGAAGGAGGAGGAGGAGGAGGAGGAGGAGGAGGCGACGGAGGCGGAGGAGGAGGAATGCGACGACGACGACGACGACGACCACGACGACAAGAAGGAAAAGGACGGCGATGAGGGCGAGGAGGAGGAGGAGGAGGAGGAGGAGGAGGACAAGGGGGAAAAGGAGGAGGAGGAGGAGGAAAAGGAGGAGGAGGAGGAGGAGGAGGAGGACAACGAGCACGGGGACAGAGCCCTCGAAATCGCCTCTTGGAGCCCTCTTGGGACTATTTCGAGGGGGCTCTTTGAGCGTCTCGGAGCCCTATTGGGGACCTCCCGGAGCCCTCGTGGGGGGTCCCTTGGGAGCCCTGGCGGGCCTCCTTAGGCCATCTTGGAGGCCATCGATCAAAAGGGGGGGGTCCTCGATTTTCGTCCCCTCCCCCCCCCAGGGGCCATCAAATTCGCCTCCCTGGGCCCTCTTGAGGCGCTCTTGGGCTGCTGTTTGGCGCTCTTGAGGCCGTCTCGGGGGCCTCTTGGGCCCCTCTTGGGCCTCTCTTGGGCCATATTGGGGCGATCTTGAGGTCTCAACAGCGCATCGGAACCGAAAAGGCGAGACATCCACATTCATGTTTTTACCATGTTTTTGAAGGATTCTGGACTTCTGAAGGGGTCCTGAAGTGGGCTCCGAGAGCATCATTTGAAACCGTTTGTGGCCTTCGTCGGGCCTCTTAGAGGTATGTCGGAAGGTATCTTGAACCATCATCTGCTATCTTGAGCCATCTTGGAGACCATCTTGGAGGCCATCTTGGAGCATCCGGCGCCCTCTTGGAGCCATCTTGGGCCATTTGGGGCGCCCTGACAACTCGCGCCCTCCCCCCCCCCAAAACATGATGGACCCACGAACCCGGAAAGGGATATAGACATGTGGAGCATGGACACGTTTTCATGATACCCAACTGGGCAACACCTCACGAAACATCCCACGAGACACCTCACGAAACAGCCCACGAGACACCTCACGAAACATTCCACGAGACACCTCACGAAACATTTCACGAGACACCCCGCGAAACATTCCACGAGACACCCCACGAAACATTCCACGACGACAGGCAACCACTCAACCAAGGCGGTGTGGTCGTGCTGGGGAGTGGTCGTGCTGGGGTGTGGTCGTGCTGGGGGGTGGTCGTGCTGGGGGGTGGTCGTGCTGGGGGGTGGTGTGCTGGGGGTGGTCGTGCTGGGGCGTGGTCGTGCTGGGGCGTGGTCGTGCTGGGGCGTGGTCGTGCTGGGGCGTGGTCGTGCTGGGGCGTGGTCGTGCTGGGGTGTGGTCGTGCTGTGGTAAGGTCGTGCTGGGGTGCGGTCGTGCTGGGGTGTGGTCTTGCTGGGGTGGGGTCGTGCTGGGGTGTGATCGTGCTGGGGTGGGGTCGTGCTGGGGTGTGGTCGTGCTGGGGTGTGGTCGTGCTAGGGTGGGGTCGTGCTGGGGTGGGGTCGTGCTGGGGAGTGGTCGTGCTGGGGTGTGGTCGTGCTGGGGTGTGGTCATGCTGGGGTGTCGTGGGTCGTGCTGGGTGTCGTGCTGGGTCGTGCTGGGGTGCTCCGCACCCTGTGATCGATCGGGTCGTGCTGGGTGGGTGCTCGTGCTGGGGTGCTCGTGCTGGGGTGTGGTCAGGGTCGTGCTGGGGTGTGGTCGTGCTGGGTGTGGTCGTGCTGGGGTGTGGTCGTGCTGGGGTGTGGTCGTGCGTGCTGGGGTGTGGTCGTGCTGGGGTGTGGTCGTGCTGGGGTGTGGTCGTGCTGGGGGGTGGTCGTGCTGGGGGTGGTCGGCTCGTGCTGGGGGGTGGTCGTGCTGGGGCGTGGTCGTGCTGGGGCGTGGTCGTGCTGGGGCGTGGTCGTGCTGGGGCGTGGTCGTGCTGTGGTGAGGTCGTGCTGGGGTGTGGTCGTGCTGGGGTGTGGTCTTGCTGGGGTAGGGTCGTGCTGGGGTCGGGTCGTGCTGGGGTGTGGTCGTGCTGGGGTATGGTCGTGCTGGGGTGGGGTCGTGCTGGGGTGGGGTCGTGCTGGGGTCTGGTCGTGCTGGGGTGTGGTCGTGCTGGGGTATGGTCGTGCTAGGGTGGGGTCGTGCATTTCGCTCGAGACATCCTGCCAAAATTCCAGGAAATCGTACAAAAACAAAGGAATTAGTCGAGACATCATCGAAATTCCTTCGCGCGGGGCGCTTTTCCGCGTCGCGGTCGGCTCTGCAAAACAAGCGTTTCGCTCGAGACATCCTCGGCAAACTCTGCGGAGCAAGCGTTTCGCTCGAGACATCCTCAACACACGAAAAAGTGGCCCGCACCCTGTGATTTATCGATCGGGATTTCAAAAACAAGCGTTTCGCTCGAGACATCCTCAAATTTTAATTCGCCGGCCTCCTTCGACCTCGTTATTTATCAGGGAAAAAATTCGCCGGCCTCCCTCAAGTTGGCACCGGGGGACAGGTTTACCTACTAAAAGAGAACCCTGGGCCCATGCCCTTTCCGGGAAAAAACATGATGGACCCACGAACCCGGAAAGGGATATAGACATGTGGAGCATGGGCACGTTTTCACGATACCCAACGGGGCAACACCTCACGAAACATCCCACGAGACACCTCACGAAACATCCCACGAGACACCTCACGAAACATTCCGCGAGACACCTCACGAAACATTCCAGGAGACACCCCGCGAAACATTCCACGAGACACCCCACGAAACATTCCACGACGACAGGCAACCACTCAACCAAGGCGGTGTGGTCGTGCTGGGGAGTGGTCGTGCTGGGGTGTGGTCGTGCTGGGGGGTGGTCGTGCTGGGGTGTGGTCGTGCTGGGGGGGTGGTCGTGCTGGGGGGTGGTTGTGCTGGGGCGTGGTCGTGCTGGGGCGTGGTCGTGCTGGGGCGTGGTCGTGCTGGGGTGTGGTCGTGCTGTGGTGAGGTCGTGCTGGGGTGTGGTCGTGCTGGGGTGGGTGTGCTGGGGTGGGGTCGTGCTGGGGCGTGGTCGTGCTGGGGTGTGGTCGTGCTGGGTGTGTGGTCGTGCTGGGGTGTGGTCGTGCTGGGGTGGGTCGTGCTGGGGTGTGGTCGTGCTGGGGTTGGTCGTGCTGGGGTGGGGTCGTGCTGGGGTGGTCGTGCTGGGGTCTGGTCGTGCTGGGGTGTGGTTGTGCTGGGGCGTGTCGTGCTGGGCGTGGTCGTGCTGG